CCCCCCAGCCGCTCCTCGGTCCTTTGCCTCCAGAGGCACGGAGCTTCCTTCTCCCTTATCCCCCTTTCCCTGGGCTTCCTATCTTCTGGGCTGGGCGCTAGCCGCTTCCTCCTAGCCCCCAGCCCGCTCCGCCTCCCAGGCCTCCTTACCCAGGCCTTCCCTTCTCCGAGTCTCTTCCTCCGCCTGGGCCTTCGGGCTCTTCACCTTCCTTCCCCCCCTCCCTTCCCCTTCCCCGCCCGGAGCCATGTCCTCCGCCGCTCGTTTCGATTCGTCGGACCGCTCCAGCTGGTACGTGGGCCCGGTGTCTCGGGCAGAGGCGCAGACGCGGTTGCAAGGGCAGCGGCATGGCATGTTCCTGGTGCGGGACTCGTCCACCTGCCCGGGGGACTACGTGCTCTCGGTGTCCGAGAACTCCCGGGTTTCCCACTACATCATTAACTCCTTGCCCAACCGCCGCTTTAAGATCGGCGACCAGGAGTTTGAGCACCTGCCTGCCCTGCTGGAGTTCTACAAGATCCACTACCTGGACACCACCACCCTCATCGAGCCTGCGCCCAGGTGAGTGCCACCCTCCCTGCGCCCCACCCACTGCCATCTTTGCTCAAGGTGGCGCAAGGCGGGGGTGTCTTAGTCCAACCTAGTAGCTCCAGGATCTTAACGCTGGATGTAGGGCCATGCTATGTATACTAAGGAAACATTTGTTTATGGCCCTCGTTTGAAGCTGTTTCTAACAGTGGTGCTTCTTAGCACTCTGGATCTCAGTGACCATTGCGGATTGCTCTTTCAGTCAAATCATCCATACAATGCACAGGGCCTGTCCTTACAGTGTGTGTAGGTATATGTAAAGGTACCATGTACATCTCTACCACTGGCTATAATTGCCTTGCAAGAGGGTGTGGTCATGCTTTGTGTCAGTCTTTTCTTCTGGTATTCTCCTTCGGTTCCTAGGATGGTTGAGAAGCTGGTTCACAAGTCTTCTCAGTGATTGAAGTACAGCCTCTGAGCTTAAGTTGCTGTCTGCCCCTGCATCCACACTGATTACGATAGAACAGGCCTTTATGTGTTAGACTGCTTCACCCTGTTAAGTCAGCTTTAATACGTTCTAGGACAGCATTTCCCAAACTTTCAGAGTGGCATTTCCACCTCCCAAAAAATGTAAAACATTTATTTCTCACAGTTTGGTTCATCTATATCTGCATACTGCATGCACTACACTGTGAAATGCTATTCTAGGAGGATGGGAAAATGTGACTTGGCTATGAGCTCATTCTTTGTCCTGTTCCCAACATGGGATATACCTGCAACTTGCATCAGTAAACTGCTTTTCAACAACCCTAGAACATATTCTTTATTTTTAATTAATAAAGCCTTTCTCAGTATCTTTATTTCAAAGCTTTTGGGCTTCCTGGATAGAATGAAGTGAAATAAAAGCTAGAAAAGGAGTGACACATTAAAAAAAGAAATTAAAATTGGTTCGCTTCTAAATTCTGCAGCTTAAAATCTTACTATGTTTTACAGAATATCGAGTTCTTAGGGGGGAAGAATAACTCTGAGGTTTATAGTCACAATTTAACCTTGGCATAGGCCAGTTCTTAATGACAATCAGTAACTTGTCAAAGGTTGACAATAGCTTGTCAAATTGAAAAACTCAAGTGGTCAAAAAAGGTCTTTCTGTAAAGCTGTCAGGTGATAGGAGGGATGTGACAGAAAGCACTAGCTTCAAGAACTCTTAAAGTTGCTGAGAAGTCTTCTGGGTAGGGATTGTGCTGTGGCTAGGGAGATGGGTAGGTGAAAAAAAAAAGTCACTTTCACCATTGCAGGTGAGCTGCCCATTGTTATGTGCGTGCTTAAACTTGTGGACAGTTGGGAGGAAAAAAGTCTACACTGAAGCAATCTTTATGCTTGTCTCGGTTCTCCTTAACCTGGATACTGTTGTACCTTTCTGGGTGTAAAAACTTGCTCTTAATAATTTATGGCAATGACTGACTTGGCATTCTCAAAACACTTGAGAACTTAGCTGATTCCACTTGCTCACTTGGTATTTGTTAGGAGTCTTGTGTGAAACGTTTTAGTACCACCTTATTTTCAAGATTTTGATTGCATATTGTTCTCTCGGCATACAGGGACAGATGGGACCTAGCCTACTGTGAACCGACAAGCTTTTTTATAAAGCAACAAATGGGATCGACTAGGTGTTTTTCCTTAGCATGATTTTTGTTCTAAACTCTTAGAAAAATCAATGACATGGTTGATGGTTTGAAATTCTGGTTGAAGGAGACTTTCTGCTGCAAGAGGGAGGATGAGAGGTAGCATTTCCGGATTTTTTTTTTTTAATTTATTTTTAGTTAGTGGACTAGATTTAGAATAGGCGTGGACAGGTATGTGCTTCAGAACTGTTATTGCTAATTCTTATTTCTCTGGCATTTTCAGGGGAAGATTGCACTCAGGTGCTTGTGCTTTTGAAGGTTGTTGATTCTTTTAACTTCATAAAATATAGTATGAAGAGGTGGTTTTCCTGGTAGGATTAAGTAGGTTGTTGTATATAGCCATACAACGCTTTTAGCGCTCAGAGATGACATTTTAAACTTGTAAAACAGTTGAAAACTGACTGTTTCAAGCTTTCTATTTGTTTTGTGTCAATGGTGAGCTCTGACCATCATTGCAGATGTCCCTGAGCTCTTGCTTATGCAGAGTGACTGCTCTCCAAAGGGTTCCCTCTCCCCCTGGGCTTTGGCTGCAGCAGGGTGTCTTAAAGAAGCATATGTCTTTCTGTTTAGGGCTTCTGGCATATCTTGCAAAAATCATAGGGATTTGACTTCCATCTTATTTTGCAAGTAGCAAGAGAGAATTGAAGTAGGCTAATGACATGCATTCTTGCTACTGTAGCTTAGATATAAGTATCTGCTGTGGCCTATATACGTTAAGATTTCTGACAGCTGCTTTGAATAAAATGTATGAATTTTAATGATGAAAATAGATTGCAGTGAAAATAGTCTCATTTGATGAACAATCTTATGTATTATCACACACAGTGAAGTGACTGTATTGGACAGATGATGGGCATAGTAATAAACAATGATGTGAATAAATTAAAGGTAATATGGTTAATAAGGCAAAGGAATATTTCTAGATGGTTAGCTTTTTCATCTCTTACTCCATTCTTACCAGTGGATGCAAATATTTCATATTGTCTTTTATGAAGATGTCACTTTTAGGTTATTAGGTATTTAAATATGCAGTAAAGATAAGTACTTTGAAACTAACAATTTTTCTGTTATATTATAACAACCCTTCAAGAGTTGAAGTTGTAAAAATAAGATTAATTCAATATTACTGTCCAGAAAAGAGGGGAAAAGTGTTGTCTCCTAAAAACACAGCATCTGCCTATCTCTTTTCTTAAAGAAAGGAGTTTTCAGTATAAATGTGACTGGCTGTCCCCAAAATTCTGCATGTAAGTAGTGGGATTCGCTTAAAAAGATGCTGTACTACCAATCAGAAAGACAACATTGGACTTCTAGCTTTGAGTTAGAAAACTGTGTTTATTATGCTCTCCTCTTACTTTTGTTCCCTTTTCCCACTATGGTCCCTCAAGTCTAGCATTTAGTTACTGAATTCTTTAGAAGTGGAAGCTGAAGTTAAAAATGTAGATGTGATGGACTGAAGAGGGTTACTTAGCTTTCCAAGAGCCCCTCCACCCCAACTCACTCAAATAATTTTCATTTGTTTTTATGTATCATGACTCTTATAACTTAAGCTGTAGAATTAATTTTATTCTACCCTAAGATCCTCACAACAATCCAAAACAGGTGGATGAAGATTTTGCATTATTTCTCCCAATTTTCTGCATCTGTGATAGATTTTTATTGGGTTTCTGGGGATGCTAATTTGGGTATTTAGGTAATTACTTGAAAGCATGAGTTACTCATTAAATGCCTCACCATGCTATCAAGCCAATACTTTTGTTACAAAGCTGAATAAGTAATGCTCCTCTAATTGGTGTTCCTACTGTAAAACTGGTACTTAGCTTTGTTACTGGAAATACAAAACAATAGGTATCGCTTATACCAAATCTTTTTTTAAACTTAGGTATCCAAGTCCACCAATGGGATCTGGATCTGCCCCTACTATGTCCACTGCAGAAGAAAATGTGGAGTATGTTCGGACTCTATATGACTTTCCTGGCAATGATGCTGAGGATCTTCCATTTAAAAAGGGCGAGATACTGGTAATTGTAGAGAAGCCAGAAGAACAGTGGTGGAGCGCCAGAAACAAGGATGGTCGGATTGGGATGATTCCTGTTCCTTATGTAGAAAAGCTAGTCAGATCTTCTCATGGAAAGCATGGAAACAGGAATTCCAACAGTTACGGTATTCCAGAACCTGCCCATGCCTATGCTCAGCCTCAAACTGCAAGTCCCCTTCCCTCAGTATCGAGTACACCTGGAGCAGTGATCAATCCTCTGCCATCGACACAGAATGGACCAGTCTATGCCAAAGCTATCCAAAAGAGAGTACCCTGTGCTTATGACAAGACTGCGCTGGCATTAGAGGTAAGTTTTTCCTCTCAGGTCTTAAGATTTTCAATTGTTTTGTAAAATAAGAATCTAAAAAATGTTAGTGGCAAAGTTGGTGTGGATGACTTCATATGGAGTCTGCTTATCTGTGTCAAAAGACTGAGAAGAAGTTAGGTTAAATTCTGAAGAAAGATCTACAGAAATTGCTTCATCTATACCACTTCCTTTGAGAAAAGTGACCGAGTCACTTCAGGACCTGTATTTACCCTTTCTTCTTGCCTGTTTGACAGTGGAAATATGTTACAAGGGTAGTGGAGTGCATACATCCTGCTGTGGAAGTAAGTGCTAGTGAGAGGATAACTTTGCTTCTCCACCAAATCTTGGGGAAGGAAAGAGATGTTTCATTAATCAGTGCAGTGTTCCAGGCTGAGAACTGGCAGTAGCATCCTTCAGAGAAAGGTAAGGATCGCTGATAGACATAGTCTTTCTGATCCTCACCTGTAGTATGAGATGCACTTGAGTGTCTGGTGCGGAGAACTAAAATCTGGGCAGAAATAGATCAGAAGTACTGTAGTCCCTTTTACTTCAGTTTTCAAAAGTGGAAAATTTGAGAAACCTTAAGACCTAAATTGGGGGGGGGGGTGAGGGGGTTAGATGAAAGGCTGTAGTGTAGCCTCTAAACTTGTGTTGAACCTGTAATAAGTTCCTGTGCTTGCCAAAGCATTTTTTATTTTATTTTTATTAGGGATGTCTTTAAGACTTTAGAGCTTTATTCTTTAAATGGTAAAGAATTCACGTTACAATTCTAGTTTAACTGGCATAAATGATGGATTGGAAGATGTTTTTAAAGCTATACCCAGAACACTGAGACTGTTACTTTTACATTTAGATTATACTGAAGGCTAGTTAACCCATAGTTCAAAAATGTCTCACCTGGAAAAGCGCTAGTCTCAAAGATGAAATCTGAGCGTGCTACAATACTTCAAGGAGCAAATGCAAGGAAACAAGCAAAGGAAGCAACAGCATTTTAGCAAGTAAAATAATAGTGGTTTTAAAAATACTTTTGAACTGTTCCTGTTGCTTTTGCTCAATTACTTTGCAAGTTAAAGCTGTTACCTATAACTGATACTTTTGACTGAAATTTGAAAGATTATATTTGTGACTTCCAGTTATTCATAGTAGTTGCCCTAAGTGTTTTTCCTCCTGTATTTGTAAAACCTCTACAGGTGATTACTCTTACGGGGTTAAAAGTTAAATATGTATCACTGGATTTTCCTTGAGTCTTATGAAATCTAGCAGCTTGTTATTTGTGAACAGTGTGTGAAAATTATCATAGAGCAAAGTGTAAATGCACTGCCAACTGCACTGTACAGAAGATTGCTGCCAAAACTACTCATGCTTCTGAAAACAAAGCAAGGCAAGCGATTGATTTTGTTATGTTATCAGTGTGTCATGGAATTACTTCAGGGAACTTGTTTTGCTGCAGGGTAGCAGAACCGCTTGGAAGGATGGCTCTCACAAATAGATTTTTCTGACTTGCTCTTTAGTGACCTAGTTAATCCCGTCATTTTAGCTACTCTAGTATACCAGTAGGATTAATTCTCTGACCAACATGTAGATTTGAATTGTTTTGAACCTTCAAATTGCTGAAGTTCTGTTTGAGAGATTCTTCTCTTCCACTGAATTCTAATCACTTATTGCCTCATGTCTTCGTGTCTTCCACCGCTGGCATATTTTGTTTTCCTATGTAGTCTGTTTTCTTTGCAAGAGCACCTTAGCCACACTGTGGCTTCTCAGGAGGCTTCAGAAGTAGAATTCTGGGAACTAATCTAAATTTTTCATTAAAATCAGTGATTACAGCTTCTCCGTATCTATCCATGCATAGGGAACTTTAGCAACCTCATTATAGCAATATTTTTTTTGTCATATATACTACTTTTAAAGAAAAAAAATCCAACTTCTTTTCATGATCTTCCTTCAGATTGCCTAACACCTGCTGGGCCCTGGTGATGTATTTAATCCCAGCCTTGTCAGGGCTCTACGTGTGACTAAATAATCTGGACCATTTGAAGCTTCTATTTTGTAAGCACTGAAAGTAGCTGAGTGGTAGTGAAAGAATAGGTTATGGAATGTTTTGGGGAAGAAAGTTAATAGTGTTCTTTCAGAAGAATAGTATTTGACAGTACTCCACCTTAGTATAGGTGTACTCTAAATCACAGTTTAGCTTTTACAGGTAGAACACCTTGGTAGCATAATTATACAGTGCCTGATTGTGTAATCTCCATTTAAACTGATAAAACAATATGAGAGCAAAATATCTGTCTTCTGGCTTTAGCTTTGTGTGGTCAGCACACAGACAGTACTTAAAAGGAAGAGAATACCATCTGGAATAAGTAAAGCTATTGCGTGGTAATCTGCTTGACTTCCTTTTAAGTGGAGGGATGTCATTCTCCTGGGTTCAGCCTGAAAATGGGACAAGCTCTCTCCTTGCAAGTCCAGTTTTTCTATTTCACACTATTGTTTACATAAGCTGTCAGAAGTTTTCTTTAAGAAAAGATAAAGATTCATAGCCTATTACAGAGAAGTTTGTTTTGTAGGGAAGGTATAATTAATTTTTTAAAAATTTCTCACATGAAAAATGTAACTTGTAAAATAAGTAAATATTCTACTGAAAATCTGAAACAAGATCTGTTTGGTTGCGTAATGATGGAGTGTTTAACTTTTAAATAGTATTTAAAGTGTGACGGTTTCAGGGCAACTACAACGTTGTTCCTGTAAGGATACTAGTTAATATGGCATTTGTTACAATTTGGACCTTGCTGAGCTAAAACTATTTAGCATTCATATTGGTATTACTGAAGTGACTAACATCTAAATGTTGACTTGGTCCTACTGCATTATATGCTTTACTTTTATTCTCTAAAATAAAAAAATAAATAGTAATCTGTTTATAAGCTAAAATAAGAGTTTTAAGTATAGCTACTATCTCAAAGCGTACAGCTGGTATACATATAACTTTGGGCATCTCCCTGCACCAGTGAACAACTAGTAAAGCCTATGATTAATTAAATGTATTTCTAAGATTTACATATACTGTTGTCAGTTGAGTTAGTTACCTTGGCAGTTCAGATTTAATGTTTTTAATGAAATGATTGAAGTCTGCAGTTTCTCACTGCCAACTACCTTACTTTACTACTACTGTGTGTAGTATTTTCATGGATACTGCATTAAAAAAAAACCCCAAACAACCAAACCACAAAAAGAAAAAAAAACAACCCACCACCGAAAAAACAACCACCCAGATCTGTTTCTTTACTTCTGTGCTTTTAGCCAAGAAGCAATTTCCTTCCTTTCTGGTGCTCTAGAGGAAGGAATATGAAGGACAGGGATACAGTGTCCTGTATTTATTGGGACTAGAACTCTACATTACAGGGTTATGTACTACTACATTATATATACAGTACATATTACATTATGTACTCTACATTACAGGGTTATTCAATCCTGCTTTTCTTTGGGAAAACTAGGAGGGCGATCCTGTGTTCAAAGGTTATACAGGATAGCACTTTCAGGAGGTGATGAATTTTGTAAGAACAGAGATTCTTTGGCACTGTTAATATGATAGAGCAGTGAAGTCTACCTTAAAGTTTCTCAGCATTTAATAACCTGTAGTTCTATAGCCAGCCTGTTAATAATATGCCAGTGAAGCCTTGTTTTAAACTGGCATGCTCTAACCAGCATGTGAAGTATATGCAGTGCCCAGTAGACTAAGACCTGGTATGTTTTACCTTAAAGGAGCTTATCTCTTGGTAGTTGGGTACTTCTTGTTTAGATCCAAAGTAGTTGATTGATCACTAACTTCTACACAAAGTTTATTATGTCCAGCATAGTCAGTAGATAAACTAATGGTGGATAATTCCCTTAAAAATTAAGTGAACTGTTTGAAGGTTGATTCAGGATGTGAACAACAAATTCAAAATTCACTTATAAAATGGAATGAAATGACATAAGGAACCAGAAAATGGGAGACCAGCAGCAGCCACTAGACTTCTGTCTGCCATGTGTTTAAAAAATGGTTCTTAAATATATTGCAAACACTGTAATAAGTGACATAGACCATTTTGAAGGTAGTAATAGTCCTAGAGTTCATGTCCAGACTTAACATGACAGTGTTATGGAATCTGAAGATTTTTTTTTAAACAAGAGCTTCACTATATTTTTATAGCAAAGTTTTTATAGTCATGATGGCTTCTTCTAGACCTGTGCCAGCATTACAGTATTGAGTTCATAATATATCAAACATATTAATATGTATGTTTGCTAATACAGAGTTAACCTGTCACTGAAATGTTTTCGTGAAATAAATACCCATTCACCATAATTATATAACTGACATAATATTTCACTTGAGCTTGTTACAATTAGGTTACAGTTAGCTTTTTTCCTCTTCAAAGGAAAGTTGAGACAAGTAGGCCAAAATGTGCTAGTAGTAGAACTTTCTTAATTAGGAAATTAGGCTGCTACTTTCACTAGACAACAAGCATTGTGCTTTTCTTAAGCCAAGGAAACTTAGTATTGCGTTGTTAAACATTAAAATGCATCTAACCCACAAGGTCTAGATTTTAAGCAAAATATTGAGCCTATACTTGTGTAGTGTGAGGTGTTGATTGGGGGGCTTTAGTTCTGGTAACTATTGAATTGAAAGTGATATTGAAAGGATTCCTGTGCCTGTGCTGACATGCACCAACTTTTCAGTATGCTACCTTTGAAAATACAACTGACAGTTACTTCAGAGATTTTGTGTGCAGTCTTAATCTTTGTAACTTCCTTTTCCAGTCCAGGTTATTGGTGGTTCCCATCATGATAGATGATAGTGCTGAGTGCTTCACACTCACCCTCAGAACTGTTTGCAGAGTTTGTTTTCAGATGAAACTGAAAGTGACATGGATAACCTAGACAAGATCCTGTGCTGCAATGAGATTCAGTATAGCTCAAGAATGATGGTTTGTGGGAGTTTGAGTTCTCCAAATTCTGTGCAATCATGACAGCTGGTTTAATCAGCTGGAGACCGGCTACCATCATTTAATGAAGAGCAGCACTTTATCTGTGGTGCTGCAACCCCAACTCTGGCAATTGTCCTAGCTGTACTTGAAACGCAAACTTCTATTGTTTTACTCTGTTGCTAGATGAGGCTAGATTAATTGCATCTAGGACTTCAACATTTCTATGTTGCCCTTTGATCTGCTTTCATGTCTCAAGAATGGTTGAAGGTCTTTCCTCTGAACTATTTGATTCTTTGGTTTGGGCATCAATTATTCTTCTTCTGGCACACAACGTCAGAAGTGAAGGATAATTAAGCTGTGCTTTCAGCCTGTTGGTTTCTTGAATCTTCCAATAAGTAAAGTACCAGCTACTTCAGTGTCACTTTGTCCTGTTTGCAGTCTGACTGAACTCTGCCTCTTTTGTGTAGATCAGCTTTATAGCTTTTGGGGACAATGGGATATCAAGTAATTTCTTAGTGTTGAGCCTTGTTTATTCTTCTCCAGAACAAGCAGCTGGTCTGAACAGTTGTTTCATTTTTGGTACTAAGACTAGTGTTGCCAAAGAAGGTGAGTTGTGACACTAATTAGGATAATGACTGAGATTCAACACCCCATAAATTCCAGAGAGCAATATGTTTACATAGCTATTGACCCAGTGGGCTAAAATGATGATTTAGAGTTTTAATGCATTTTTATCTCCTTAAACTTGTATTACAGAACTCTATCAGCCATAGAACTATTAACATACAATTGTTGGAATATCTGTAAAACACGTTGAATTGGTTGACTGTGTGACTAAAATGGCATGCAGGAAACCTCTTGCAGTGTATGAATCAGCTTCAAATGGAAGACAGGTATGGAAGAGTCTAGAGTGAATGAAGTAACCTTTCTGACTGGCATGTTCCACAGCTTGTGTTTCCCCAGGGCTTTGAATTCATGCTATAACAGGGACATAATGAAAGGATGCTATCTAAAATACGTTTTGATTTTTATCATTTGGGTGGAACCAAATGGCTGCATTTCAGAAGTATTACTCATTTCAGCAGTTGATACTTCCATCCAGCGATGCTGGCGTGCTTTACAAGTGAACTAACTTATCTGAGAGATGTTGGGACTAAGGAAGCATTATTCTAATTTACAGATAAGGGCCATGAGCTGTCCAGAGTCATACAGGAAGTTTGTGGCAGAGATGAGAATAGAACCAGGTCTCCTGACTCTGTCCTGTGCCTAATCATAAGACAATCCTTCTGACTGGCTTAAAATGTTCTCTGAAAAAAATAGCGTGTTAAATAATTTTAGTGGGAGATCACACCTCAGCTGACCATATTATAGATGCTTTAAAAAGCATTTACCAAGTATTGCTTTTAGTTAGTACTTTGGGGAAGAATTACATAGAGGGACTACTCGACCAGATTCTTCTAGACATTGTCAAAATGGAGGCCTTCAACATAAGATCCATGAATTACTCTGTCATGACATCAAGGTTCCTTCTCCAGAAATCTTATTTCAACATCCTGTTTCATTTAATCTTCTCAGGGGAACTGCATTTTTTTTAATAATATAGCACAAGAGGATTTTCAGAAGCTTTCATTAAAAAAAAACTCTCAAAAAATAATATAAAGTTATTGCAAATCAGTTTAGTATTCCAGTGGTTCTTGGCATATGGGAGTATTTTTGAGTAGCTTTTATCAGCTAGCACTCTTTAATGGCAGATACTGATTTGTAGCACCTTTGCCCACCCAGCAGTCTAAAGAACATTTTACATGTTAATCTACATGGCAGTTTGCTGCAATGCAATAGGCTTATATTGTAAATATTTTTTTCACTTAGCTGAAGAAGACTTTCAAACCTATTCATGTTGTAGAAATCATTCAAAGTCAAATTGAAGGATATCTTTTTCTAGAGCTTCAAAATGAATAATGGATTGATTTCTACAGCACGTGAGCAGAATTAAATTGTCAGACTCTCAGAAAATGCAGGTCCATGTTTTTGATCCAGTGTGCTACAGATTTTTTTTTTTCTTCCATGAATAAGATTAAAGTGTTTGAGAGTGGATTGGTTTTATGGTGTGGTGCAAACGCAGTTTCTTATTAGGTTTTAACTGTTGCGATGTTGGCTGTGTCTTGAATTTGGGTCTAAAACTTGGAACTTGGATCTGTCTTCAAGGGTTATTTAAATCCAGCAATGTAACACTGAGTATTTATAGACAGCCTTTTCCTAAAGAGACATTTGTTAGGTTCCTGTTTAGGTCATCTTGTTACTATTTAAAGCTTTCTCTAGCCTTTACTCAGTGAAAAGTCTGACAAATTGTGCTTTTTAGCAAATGCACAATTAAAGCATGCTGCAGTAGTCTGCAAAGAGATGAAAACCAGTCAAATTAATGCTATATGTATGTGCTAACTGTCATGGGCAGTGTATAACTACTTAATAGTACATGCTGGCTTCGTGTTTGAGTTTACGAACAGCGTAAGTAAAGATGTCCATTTAAGAAGGTAATGTGGTCTCAGTTATATCCCAAGAACTTACGGGAATTCAGAGGGTTTTCTCCTCTCTTAAAAGCACAAGATTACAATTGTTCCAAGTGTGACAGTCTCAAATTTGGGGAGGCAGATGGGCCACGAACAATCCACATAGTGGAGAAAAAGTAGGGGGGTGTGTGGAGCAACACATTTTGCTTAAATGTCTAATTTCATTCTAATATGCAACATAAAGCTTAAATCTGTAAAATGAGTTTCAAAGGTTGAGAAATTTTAAGAGCTGTAACACTGAGTGACTGCCAAGGAGTTTATTACAGGATCTTAAACTTCACTTAAGGACTCTTGCTTCTGAGTGATCTTCAAAAAATATCTATTGGAGTAATGGTACCTGGTTTAAACAGGCTTCAGATCATCTAGTGACATGCACACTGTTTTGTAAACTCAGGGTTTTATTCTTTAACAGAAAATGTACAGGTCTTACCTGAAAAGTTTTAATCTAAGGCCCTTGGCCAAGGTCCTTAAACTGTCTGCATCAGTTCTAAATTTTAATGTTATCTAAATAATGTAGACAAATTGTTACTCATACTGTATCAGGACTAAAATCTAGTTTTTCCTTAAATAAGAAGATCAAAGCTAGTTACCTTTGGAAGTAGCTTGGTAACTGAGACTCAACTACGGAGAGCTTGGACCTAGTTTGGGGAAGAAACTTATGAACTGTTGGCCATTGGTCATAGGCTGGTTCTACTTTTTGTGAAATCAGTTATTAGCTGCTAATGTTGCTCTTCTAATATTTACTATAGTTACCACATAGAGTAAATTAAGTAAACAGGAAGGGAGGTGTAAAGTTAGAGAGCTGCTGCAACAGACCACATGTTCAGCTATTCTGAAGCATTTAAGAGAGAAATCACTATTTAGCTAGTCTTAAATGCTACTTGTCAAATTGGATATTTTGCTTTGTAAATTATCCTAATCCAAATTAAATACAGGCATTGAACAATGATAAGAGTATAACTTACCATCATTTGGGCTGATGTTTCTTACTTGATCATAGTTTAGTTCTTCTCATCTTTCACTGCCAAACAGGAAGAGACACAGTTATGGTAGGAAAGGCCTGACATGTCATTGTTCCTGTTTCAAATTCTTTGGCAGGAAGTAGAGGTGAAAACAACAAATAAAGCTAGAATCTGTACATCTAATACTTTAAAAAAAAAAAGTTTGAGATTGCTTTTGCCTGCTTTGGAAGTGTGCCATTATTTTAGAAACCACAGAAGCTTATTAGACTGTGATAATCAGAACTAGAACTTCAAGTAATGGTTTCTTTGCCATAGGAGTCTCTCTTTGAAAAACTGAATTTCCTTTCAAATAAGCCAGCTGATGCTAAAACCGGTATGAGTCCTGTGCTCTTTTGAATGGATGTTGCATCTCATTACTGATGGTAGCTTTAGTGATGTTAATTTATATCTAAGCTAAACATATTGTTGCATGAAGTTGTAAGCTCTCCTACAGGAAAAGGTAAGTTCAGCAATTTGTCTGAATATGTGAATATACATTTAGTTAAGAGTCTGAAAAAGACTGCAGACAACATTATCATGTTCAGCAGCAAAATGTTGGTATTTTAGTTAAGTAAAAGTAACTTTTCTTTTCAATTGAACCTTATGCCAAGAAGAGGGTGGGTTTTTTTCCCTATGATGGGCTTTTATTTGTTGTTCCTCTTCATTTGATTTGTATCAGAGGTGAGATTCCCATGTGTGATAACTTTTTTTTTTTAATTATGCAGGTTGGAGACATTGTGAAGGTTACAAGGATGAATATAAACGGTCAGTGGGAAGGAGAAGTCAACGGTCGAAAAGGGCTCTTCCCATTCACGCATGTCAAAATATTTGACCCTCAAAACCCAGATGAGAACGAATGATTCCCTCTGCCCAATTTACACTGCTGCTTCATTTTCCTGGCTATCATTAGCATTGTTTGAGGTGGGATGATGACTTAATGGCACATTGCTAGCATTGCCCATTTTCCAGCTTGATGCAGTTTGACGGTTCTTTTAATATACATTTGGAATACATACAACTGAAGTCACTGCCTGACCTTCATACCATAGTTGCATCATCCAGAATTTAGTTTCACTTTTAAAACTATTGGGCCTTAAGCTGGAGAAGACTGAACTGGTGTATAGCAGAGAAATATGGGAAGAAAACCTTTCCTGTTGACACTTCCTTGGATTTTTTCTGACTTGCTCAGTAGGAAGAGCCCTAATCTTAGATCAACCATGCAACTTGTGCATTACTGTTCAACAAAAAGCAACAACAAAAATGCAATTTTAGGACTGAAGAAGACTTAGTTTTAAGAGAACCTGTCCTAAGGTAGTACATTTAAAATTATGGTCTCTTTAAAGGACAGTAATTGAAGCTTATGTACTCTAAGCAGTTGTATTAGAAGCTGCTCTCTTCTGTTAACTCTTAAGCTTGTTGTTGACCTTCCTGAAACAGTGTGTGTTAAATGCAAATAACCATTGATTGAGCTGCATTAAAGCTGAGGCATTTATTTATAAGGAAACTTAGGAGGGGTTGATACTTGTAACCTGTTTTTGACATACTTAATGCATTTCTGTTGATTTTTGCAAGCACTAACTGTAGAAAGTGAGCTTTAAAGGGAAACACTTTGGCCTGGTCTATGTACAGCTCTTCTGCAGTGGTGAAAGTGTAGTTTTACGAGTATAGAAGTGCTTGTCACCAGGCTGTTACTTGGTAGACAGATTGATCAGATTGCCACGGCGTGGAGAGGTAGGAGAGGAGTGGGACAGAAGAACTTGGTAAATATTGATAAAGCCCTCTTATTTAAACATACACCTTTTATACCCATTTCTCTCCAGGCTCCCTTATCTCTCCGAAGTTTCCTAGCTATGCCAGCCCTAGCTTGTGGAAAGCTCCTTTTCAAACACAGTACCTTTTTTCTAGGGTGTCTCCATGTTGCGGTGCTTCTTTTCCAGAGCTGCTTTCATTTTCTTTTCTTCCTCCCTCTTTTTTCCTTGCTTGCTTCCCAAGTCCTCTGCATGCTGCCATTGTTTTTTACCCTTCCAAATGAGTTGGCTCTGGTTTATATATGCCCTGGATCGCTCCCCCTCCCAGCATCCTCTAGAAAATGGTTAATTGGAGTCAGCTGCCTGGGTTCCCCCATGTGATAAATGAACGCTCAGGCTGGAGGAGGCTACAAAGGTGTCTGTTATCAGTATAGCTTCTTTCCCTTTTTCTGTACATAAGCTATACTGCTGTAATTGTACTTACAGTAGCGAACTATATGGCTGCAGCTAAATAAGTATAATTCATGCCACGCAGGTTAAGTCCTTAGCCTGTGTACAGGATATGAAAGCTTAGGTACAGTGGTATCCTGCGCTGCCTTCTTTACATGTGTTTTGTAGGTGAACTGGAATGCTCTTTTAAAAATAATTGAACACTGAATTAACAGAATACATGTCTGCAAAGACTACAACAACAAAACCTCCCTTTTCAGACAGCCTGATTAAAGCAAAGTCTGTTGCAGAAACTGACAGGAAAACAGCAGCCCCCATTTTTTTCAACTTTTGAAGGCTGTCAATTGTAGCAAAGTGAGAAACTTCAGACACCCGCAGAATCTCCCCAGTTCTTATAAATGTCAAATTATATAGAAGTTGTTGTTTTAAGTTCCAGCACGTTTTCTTGTTGATTTGTGTCGCTTGATCCTAAAAAAAGCACGTTCTTAGCTCATGTGAAAGTGCCGCGAGATCCTTTATTGGAAGGCACTAAAGAAATGCAAAAATGGCGTTTGCAACAAGACATTCAAAATGCCGGGATTTTTTTTTTTTAAAGAAGTCTCTCCGTTCATCTGTTAGCTATTTTCTGTAGTATTGATCAAGTGGCTGACAGTCTAGAAGTTCTTGTAGAGCATTTTACTACCAAATTAACTGTGAAGTAGAGTAGCATTGACTGAAGTGTTTGGTGCTGTAAGAGTAATTCTTGACAATAGGCATTGACATTTTGTCTTGCAAAGAAAAGCTATGCAGCTCTCTTAACTAAAGAAGGTCATGCTTTTTCTGTGCCCCAACTATACCCTTAAGTTTACTAGACAGATTGTACTACTGAAAGTCATCTTTTGAACACAGAAACTGCACTAAATTCAGTCTGCTGCAGAGAAATCTTATTTCAGACCTGACCTAGTTACAGGCAGCTCTTCAGAAGACTGATTGTAGAACTCTTCCTTTGTATGGTAAATAAATACTGTGAGATTTGAGATCTGGAACACAGCTTTTGACCTGGATTTTTTTTTTCCACTGAAATAAACGTTTTGACTCATCCCCTCATTGAATAAGGTGTACACTTGGAACACAAGCATTGTTTTAGGTTTAATTATGTTCTGATACTGCAGAAAAGCAAAATATTTTACCTTCAAAACTATGCAAAATGTGTGTAGTGGCATCTGATGCAAAGACAAGAATTCTTAAATTTCTCTGAACCTGGTTTTGGGCCACGGATGAACAGTGTTTCTCTGAGTAGCGGCAGTGTGGTTCAGGTATGTTAAATGTGGTTTAAATGTAGCATACTGACCAGCCTAAGCTGATTGTAACCTTGCTTCAAAACGTGTCTTTGCTATTTTACTATGAGACAAGTATTTTCATATAAAGACTGCATTTGATCAGTTTGTGTTTCTCTTTGAAGGATTCTGGATTCTCAATCGCTTGTTGCTTGCTTACATGTGCTGTCTGTTGCTTTATGAAGCCTCTTAAATTTGAGTGATAACCTATCAGTGTAAATGTTCCTTGGGCGTGTAAGGTATACTTAAAATGACGCATGTGAGCCTACAAGCGATGGCTTCAATCTATGCACCATTAAAGTTGTTCTTGCTTTTGAACTAGGAGCTGGTTTAATTACCCGGTGCCACAATAGTTAACCATCATGAAAGGCTTACTGTTTGACTTCCTCCTGTTGTGTACATGTGTATATAGACATTGAAGCCTCTGACCAGTCTGAAAGTTTAAATGAAAACTCTTTTAATCAGTGTCCATCACTGGATAAGCGCTAATTTAATTCATGATTGTTTACAAATTGGGAAAGAATAAACAAAAGGGAATATCCTGTTTGGGTTGGGGCTCTGAAGAGCCTGAGCATTATTTTTGTAAAGGGAAAAACAGCATTCTTTGTGCCATTTCATGTGCCTGTAAAGTAATTTTTTATATTCTATTAACATCCTGGGAACGAGTGGGCTGCCTTTGTTTTCTAGTCAAGTTTTCAGGCATTTTCCTCAATACCTGCATTTGGAAGTGAGACCTGCCTAAAAGACTGCCTTTTGGGACCAGTGGAAGCATTCTTGTATAGTTGCTGTTTTCTGTTTACTCGTGTTAAATGAAAGTGTGTTTTGGGACAAGGATACAGTTATTGCAGTGGGAAAGGTGGCCTTGTATTTGAGACAGTCTTCACTGTGTAAACTTTAAAACACAATATGTAATTTAAAGACCATGATCTTCAGGCAATAATATTAAGTCTAAGCTTTTAAAGTTTATTTTGGGGATCATAGCTTGTTTTATTTTTTGTGCTATAAGATTAACAGTATTAAATGAATTATATTCTTAGAATATATGGAGTGTCTTTTCTTAAGATTAGTGCCTTTTTAATTTCTTACTCCACTTATTTCATAGAACTGGTCCCAACATCAAGCCACTGTTTTTTTTTTTCCCAGTGCCCTGTTTGTACAGTCTAAATAAAACTTGCCTCAACTTACAGTATTATTTGTTGTCTTTAGTCTTAAAACCTTGACAGTATTAGCAGAGCGTTTAAGTCCTTACTCTGTCATTATGAGGCTCTGTTTTGTGGGTGAATGAGAGTGCCAACCCAAATTTCCCAGAATCAAAGGAAGAATTAAGCAGGAGAAAATGCTGTCGCTAAGCTGAATGATCCTCTCCTGTTCCATCCTCCTGCCTCTTCTCAGACTATACTGCTGCGCTCTAGAGGTTCACCTGAAAAAGATGCATCTCTGGTTATACAGATTATCACTGGCTCTTCCACCTTCACACCCGACACTTCAGTGCTCTTCCCGTCACTGTATTTAACTCTGCTCTTTTGCCGAGGCTTTTAAAGGTCTCTGTAGAAACCGTGACCTTCTTTTACTGTGATACCCTTGACTGTGCTTGTAAGAATGACTGGTTTATGCATACGGTTTGAATTTAGCTTGTTATTGTTTGAGTAAATAAGGCGTAACTTGTTCAGGCACTGGAGAGCTGGGTGGCTGGCATTCTAGCCACTGTTGAAAGGTGCCAGCGTAATACGACATAAATCCCTGCTCTTGCAAGTCAAAAAACCAGGAGGTCGTCTTTTGCCTTTTTACAGTCAATCCAGATCAAGAATAGCACTAACCAGAACTTACTTAAGGGTTTTTTAAATATTTGGGATCATTCAGTTAAATCATTAACAATGTGTTGAAAGTTGAGATGATCTTATATAGGAGAAAAACTTTAGGGGAATGTCAGACTCGACTGCTGCAAAGGAGAAGTCTAAGAAGCTTGCGCCGGCTCCCTGGACTCCTTGTAGGGGTGTTCACAGCCTAGTGTTCGCCTTCTCTGGAGTACGGATTTCCATGCGATGTTAATAAACATTCATAGCCAACTCTGCATCGTGTCTTATCGTCAGATATTCACACTTGGCAAGTTACATTTCAGAGAAGAACACTAGTATTTCAGACACGCAAGCAAGAACAGGTAAGGTGCATGCAGTAGGCCTGATAACCCTGCGTCAAACTATGCTGTAAGCCTTCAGCTTTCAAGCAAAAGCTGGAAGTGCCGGCCTGTGACTGCAGCTGCTTCTCCTGACGTCTGCAGTAGCTCTTGCTTTACCATTTACATAGCAAAACCAAGCGGTCTGCTTCCTACAAACTAAATTACACCCATGGGTGCCGCCGCAGCAGCAGCACTGTTCCCGTCTGTGGTGAGGCGCGTACAATGCAAGCGACCGTAGGTGCTGCACATCCTTCCTAATGCAAGGGCGGGCCACGAACAGCGACTGCGTGAGACAGCAGCCTGGCCTTGGTTTTGTACCGGTAACATCCAGGCTTCTCTGGGACTACACTGCAGCAACTGCCGGCGCTTTTACTAGGCAGTGGGAGATGGAAGTGCCTTGATAGCCGGGGGCTTGGGGGAGTTTGAAATACCTGTGTTCTGTACAGGAAAAACTTTATTTGTGCCTCAAAACGCATCGGGTGTCACCAAGTATAAATCTGTACCACTTTGTATTGGTGTGAGGCCACAACAGTCCACGTTCCCTTATTTCATTATGTATTTAGAAATAACCCCCTTCTACCACTTGAGCTAGGAGCGGGTTGCCGGGTCGCTTCACTGTGGCACATTTCAATTATCAGAAGGGACAAATCCTGTGGGCTGCAGAGGACTGTGATTTGTCGCTGCATTTTAAAATGCAGGCTGCCTCCTGCCTGCCCTTGCAGGAATCCCCAGCGGTGCACACCCTCCACCACCTGTAACTGAGCCCGGCTTCCTACCCCCGACGCTGACCTCCCATGTAATTTTGCATCTGGGGACCACTGCTCTTAACTAACTTCCAACTTCTCCATGGGCTGGCACGGCTCTCCCCTCGCTGCAGTCAGGACTTGGGTTTTGCACCAGGAGTACCCAGCACAGCAGCTACCTAAAGCTCCAGCAACAGCCAAGTTCACTCAGCAAAAAGTCAAAGGTAACGAGAAACAAGCAGTAACTCAAGCTGGGTTTATTTCTGGCTTACCTGCATACAGGCTTTCACTAATTTAAATTTGAACTAGTTTAGTTAGGTCAGTCCAACAACAGGCAGCGTAAGCCTTAATTTTTAGGTGCTAGCTGGGATGAGCTGGGCTTACCCGTTTGTCACCCTCATTTAATTGAAAGGTTTTATTTCTAAACCAGTGCAATAGTAAACATCCCTTTAGATTCAACCAGATGTATGTCTGCTTGAGCTTACACCAGTAGGAAATGTGCCTAAATACACTCAAATAAAATGCTGCCACAGCAAATGAACCCATTTCCTTGTCATTTTTTTACATGATTTACAACAGTGTGCATTGTGTGCGTAGGAAAGCTCTTCAGGTTTGCATTCACCGGGAGTGATGGCTCACCTTGGAGCAGCTGTAGCGGTTTCTGTCCCTTACACTGTCCCCTCTGCCTTTTTTCAGAGCGCAGATCAGCTGCTCTCGTAGCAGCTGTTGAACCACAAGTCACAGCTTGGTGTGGTAAGGTAAAGCCCTTCCAATTTCAGGTTACCTTAATACCCCGAGCTGCAAATGCAGTCACTGTGCAAACAGCTGAGCCCTCCTGCAGCAGGACTGCAAGGCCAAGAGGGACAGGCAGGCAGCAGGGAAAGAAACCACCACAGCTGTCCCAAAGCGAGCCTCCCGCTCCGAAATTTGAGCCCTAGGAGCTTGCCTACAGCCAAAGTTGCACCCGTTATTGTAACTCGTTAACACAGACTGTTGTGTGCCCGCCTTGAGTCAGGTTATCAACGCACTGCTCCGGCTGGATCACCCTCCATGGGAGCAGCCTGGGAACCCAGCACCCACCCCTGTGACTCAGAGCCATCTCTGCTTTGCGGGGGCTCCCACTCCGCACCAGCACAACCTTTGGGAGCTAAAAGCTGAGCTACTGCCCCTGTTCAGTGGTGCTCGCCGGGGGAAACCAGCCACCCCTCGTGTGCTAGACACAGCTTCACCTGCGGAAGACGCCATCCTCGCTGCTTCTGAGGCAGGCAGGGGGAGCGAGGGACGATGGGGAATTAACGCAGTGCTCTCCTCAGATAACCTTCCCAGCACCTGCTCGCTTCATTCCAGGCATTTTGTAACTAGAACCCTCCCTGCACGAGTTATTAGTCCAACCCGCCGCTGGCGCACCAGACAATTGGGATCAGAGCTAAATCTGGGGTATCCGCAGGGAACCGGCTCCTGCTTTGTACGTCCTGGCTGGTCCAACAAGGGCAGCTGAAAGTCAGCGCTGAAAAATCCTCCACTCGTAATCCTGCATTTGGTCTAGAAATTAAGCAGTAACGCGCAAGAGAAAGCGTGGGTCCCAGGGGCTGTTAACGCCCCTCCACTCTGTGTTTCCCAGTCTGCGCTATCTAATGAATCCTCTCCAGACCCTGGGGCAGTGCGAGCTCTCGCTCTCGCTCGCATGTCAGAGGGTGGCGGGGGCAGAAAGGCAGTGCTGGACGTGCTGCTTTGCCCTCCCCCGGCTGCCCCTGTGGACTGCCCCAGCACCCCAGATTCGGCTGACTCAGGGGGAGCGGTGAGTCAGAGGAGAGGATGCTATTTTGAAAAGACAGAAGGGACTGACATAAGTGAACAACAGGAGCTGGTTTGAAACTCTTGGCACTCGACTCCTGTTCAGCCCACCACCGCTCGGCAGCCAAGCCAGGCAACGAGACCCCGGGGGTGCTCCTGACAGAAGAAGTGACAAACCCAGCCAGGTCTTCGAGCGCACTGTCACTATCCTTAACTTGTCATTAAAAACATAAAAATCAAACTTGCCCATTTTTCATTACTATGAAGTACCCCAGGTAATTTACAGACTTACGGGCCCCGTGTGTTTCTAGACTCTAATCCCAGGGGTTTTTAATGTATTTTATGTTACTTTACTAATTTGAGCTGGATTATGAAGTAGTTCAGGGGAC